AGAAAGAAAGAAAGAAAGTGATTATAAGGGCTGGCCAAATAGCTCAGCATTAGGGCCGGCCAAGTAGCCCAGGAGATTAAAGCGCCTGTTTAGGCAGGCACAGAAGCCTGGGGCTTGATCCCCAGGCCTGCAGTGTTGGCCCTGCCCCCGGGGCCAGCTGAGACTGCAATTGAGACTGGGAGCGCTGGCACCTGCCTGTAATCCCAGCTCTTGGGAGGCTGTAAGCCCGAGAATCACTATGAGTCTGATCTAGTAATGAGATACTGAACGCCCTATAGACCCTTCCCTAAAATACAGCAAATAAATAAAGTGATTGTAGTAAAAGATACATTGCTAAGGCCACGCTGCAAATATTCTGCCTGGCCTGGGACTCACTGGTCCCACCCTTCTAGCCACTTCGCAAAGAACCCTGCGGTGCTCTTTCGTGAGTGCTGGTCTGAATCGATTCCAAACCCTGACCTCCCGCGGTCACTTTGACTTTGGGGAAGAGAAACATGGCGTAGAGCCCACTGGTGAACGAGGCGGAGGAGGCCAGGCCGGTGTCCACAAAGCAGGTCTTTCTGGCGGGCGGCACTTGGCAGCAGGACCCATGGTATTCTTTATCACACCTCATAACAAAACAAGAGCAGTTCCAGAACTGCTTCAGGAAGTGGCACAGGCTGGGGCGCCGGCTCGGCATCTAAGCTCCTTCCTGGCAAGCGCAAGGAGCCGGGTTCCATCCCCAGTACCGCACGCTAGGCCGGCCCTGAAACCCCAGGTGTGCCGTGCTGGTGACCAAAACTGGGCATGGTGGCGCATACCTGTAGTCCCAGCATTGGGGAGGTTGCGACAGGAGGGTCACTACGAGTCTGAGCTGCGGAGTGAAACCCTATGCCAAATAAATGAATAAATAAATGTTTTAAGTGGCATAAAGTGATGGGATAAGTGTGTTTGAAGAGAGGGGGAGAATTTCAAGGAGGATTAATACATTTTTTTAAATTCAGACATTCCTATATATATATATATATATATTTTTTTTTTTTTTTTTTAACTGGGGATTGAACTCAGGCCTTGTGCTTGCCAAGGAAGCACTTATTCCACTGAGCCATCTCCCCGGTCCCTAATTATATATTTTAATCATCTCTTCTAGTATGGTGCTGTCACATCAAATTTCATAAAGTGGGATGGATTAGGAAAAAATGTCTACAACCAGTGGCAGAAGGCAATAATGAGGGGCCAGGGATATGGCTCAGTGGAATAAGTGCTTCCCTGGCAAACACAAGGACCTGAGTTCAATCCCAGGTTCTGCAATAATGAAAACGAGATGGAGAACCACACAGCTAGATCAGTGCAAAGGATAACAGTCCCTACCTTCGTGGCTTATGGGTTTAGCACTATTAAGAAAAAAAAAAAGTAAATACAAATACTAAGTAATTAATTACATCGGGCAAAGTTCTCTGAAGGCAAAGGCCAGGGGCAGGAGGTCAGGAGGAATCTACTCAATGGTGTGTCACCCAGCCCCACCCTCACCCCTACAGGAAGTCAGTCTACACTCTCCCTGAGGTCCCCCAGGAATGGGCTGGGGCTTCTGCTTGTGTGGATCACCCACCCCACTGTGTCCAGTGACCTCCCACCTAGAGGTGACAGTTCAGATTGTGGCTGTGACCCTTGGGATGAGTACACAGTTCCAATGTCCTGGATGCCTTGGCACCCTGCTCGTGGCTTTCAGGTTGGGCTCCACCACGTCCCCCGGGGCTTTGTCCCCTATGTCCTTCCTGCCCACATGTGCAGGGTGACATTCCTCAGCCTCCCCCTCCTGGGTCAGTCAGCCCCTTCCTGTCACACTGCCAAAGAAAGAATAAAGCTCTTTCTGCCCCAAGCTCCTGGCAGGGTTGTGGGTGGCGGCTGCTGGTTATTTTTAACCAACCTTCTGGCTCCAACTCCAGCAGCCGACCCAACAGCAGGTCAGGGCACCAGCATTTGGGAGCCACCCACAGGCAGCAATTGTGTCCAAAATCAAATAAACAGGAGTACGGTACAACAGGCTGTACAGAGAGGGAAAGCTTACGGCATTTGTTATTTTCTTTCTCCTTGGGTTCGGGACCGTATTTACTTGGTGGGTCACTGTAAGTATCTTAGCCGTTCTCACCTGAAAGGATGCTGAATGCAGAGCTTCAGAACGCTGCTCTGGGCCAAGAAGGGGCCCTCAGGAAAGGCCTTTTATACCTGCCTCAAAGTGAAAAGAGCTCAGGAGGTGGCTCTTCCATTCCTGGTCTTTATTCAGCAAGGGAGGAAACCAAGGGTTAGTAGGCGATGAGAGAGCTGGAATGATGAGAGAGCTGGAATGCCGCTCGGCTCCCGGCCCCCTCCTCCCCCCAGGGCGTGTGTGTGTGTGTGTGTGTGTGTGCGCGCGCGCGCGCGCGTGTCTGTCTGTCTGTCTGTCTGTCTGTCTGTCTGTCTGTCTGCCGTAAAGGTCAGAGTCCTGGAAAATACTCAACTTAAGCCTGTAGGACATAAACTCGGAAGTCGCAATAGTATCTTAAGTATGCACAGAACTAAGTGGGAAAGAGATTCTGGGGCTTCGATGAACATAAACAGGGTCCTTGTGAAGACACAGAAATGAGTGCCCACATGCCAAGGAAAAGCACTGGTGCGCTGGGATCCCAGGAATCACCACACGCATGCGCGCGGGCATACACGCGCGTGCGTGCACATGCGCGTGCGTGCACATGCGCGTGCGTGCACATGCGCGTGCGTGCACATGCGCGTGCGTGCACATGCGCGTGCGTGCGTGCACACGCACATGCACACACATGTGGTTTGTTCTCTCTAAGCATCTACGCCCGCTGGCCACTCTCCAGACATGTGACAGCAAAGATGTGAGCAGCATCTCAGAGCCCATAGCCACCAGTCCTGGGAGGGACTATTCAAAAAGTCCAGCAGCTGCCAAGTGGCCAAGCACCTACCTCTGACCTGGGAGTAGAGTGTGGCCGCAGGGGTGACCCCACCCCGGAAGGTGCTGAGAAAAGGGCTAGCATGAACAGCCTGCATTTTCTCTCAAGCCATCAGAAACAGAGGATACAGCTTGTCAGGAGAAACCACCGCAGTGAGGGCACTCATCACACGAAGCTCCCGGCTTCAAACTGGGGTGCACGAAGATACACACAAAAAAGCAACATCTGCATGCTCAGATGGGTGCGCCCCAAATATGAGTGGGCTCCTTAGGGTACCATGACAGCAATGAGGCATCTTACCTCCTCCTTGGAGACAGATAGAGGATAGATAGACAGATGATAGATGGATAGATGATAGGTGGATAGATAGATGATGGAGGGAGGGGGAGAGAGAGAGGGAGAGAGAGAGAGAGAGAGAGAGAGAGCGCCTTTTAAACAACAAACATTTTCTTTGTGTACAAAAACACAACTATCTGTGAAGCACGTTTTGGGATCTCACTGCAATTACAGAGTTTGGGGAGTTTTGCTTGGTTTTGGGGGGTTGTTTTGGAGGTGTTTATGCATCTTGCTTATTGAAGGTCGGAACCAAGAAAGCCACTTTAACGATGGACCAAGAAAAAGACACGAAGAGAGAAGCACCCAGCAAAGCCAGCCGGAGTCTTTTGCCTACTAAGCCTGGATGGACGAACTGAGAAAACTTTGCCCCATCTGGGCTCCAGCAGTACCTCTGTGAGTCGGCTGGACTCTCTCAAAGTCCTCAGAGCTCCCCTGGGACTCAAGCTTGTTACCCTTGGGTTTGGCTTTCTAGATTGGTATTTGCACTGTGTGTACTGTGAAGTGTCTGGGAGAGGGTTTCTTTTGCACATACCTCAGCACATATATGCACTTTTATGGAAAGAGGCGATTCACAACTGAGGCTCCTAGCTTGGCAGGCATACTACGTGGTCCCGCATTTGGGTCAAGATATACCAAACCATCACATCTCCAAGGAACCCCACAAGACCATAGTGCAGAAAACCTAAGACGTGTCTTGCAGCTCCAAGGCAGAAGGGACCTCAGGGCTCTAGGCCATGGGATAGTGATTTATATCTGAGGTTACTATGTTATAATAAATTTAGAATGCAAACCCATTTTTTATTGCTCTGTAATAATGACTGACATGTCTACAGCACTCCACAGTTTTGTAATCCTTCCCTGAGCCCTGGGAGCTGAATAGATTTGTGTTCCCTGTTTTACAGATGAGGAGGTTGAAGCCTAAGGAGGCTCGCTGACTCGCTCAAGATCACACAGCCAGTACACTCAGAAGCCGGGCGTTGAGCATGAATTTCTAGTTCTGTTTCCTGCTGTCCACTCTGCTACACCAAGATGGTTCCATCCCTCCAGTCCCAGGCCAAAAGGACAGGCCCAGTGTCCAGTCATCAAAGTGCACATACTGCCCAGGAGGACATGCTCCTTCCCAAGGAATTTAGAAAGGCCTCTGTGCCCCATTTCTCCCATACTCTACCTTCTCTCCGGCCACCTGTCCTTACACCACAGGACAGAGCCAAAAATCATGAATACAACTGATTTTTTGTTGTTGTTGTTGTTGTTTGGAAAATCCACAATAAAAAATATTTTTGTATGTTAAAGCCAAATGTACTCTTTATACTGATTTAACCTGAGGGGAAACAGAAGACCCTCTTGGAAAGCATGGCTCACTCAGTGTTGGTGTGTAAAGCAGAAAGATGAGCCTTACTTACTGTCTTAGTTACTTTTTACTCGTTGCTGGGACAAATACCCAACACACAAAATGAAGGAAGGAAAGGTTTATTTAGCTCACAGTTACTGGAGGTTCAGTCCATATTCCGCTGGCTCCAAGGCAAACGTCAGCAGTTCAAGCGGCAGAGAACAATGAAGAGCAGAGGAGGAGCAGCAGCTGCAGCGGTGTCCATCAACCCTCTCTCTTCCTTCTGCGCTGACTGCGAAGACCAGTGCTCCACAGTGAAGATCAGAGCTCCTCCAAAGTGGCAGATCAAGCTCCTCCAAAGACAGACTTCTCCACGGAAGCGGGCCGGGCAGCAGGAAACCAGGCAGGGGGCAGGAAACCTTTCTCCATTCCTGGATCCTGCCCACCTGCAGGGCGAGGCCCCCACGCTGCCAGAGCTGATTCAGCCAAGTTGACATAATGCATCAACTAACACACTTAACCTTGCAAAATCTCTTGAGATTCTCCAAGCTTTAGCCTGTACCTTAGCTCTGAAGTCAAAAAAAGCAAGTTCTTCTCCAACACCAGACCAGGCAGCTTGCCTCAGCAGGAGTTCAAGCAGCTGGCACATATTTGGGAATCAAATTGTATGACAAATGTTATTTGTTTGTTGAACATGTATGTTAAGAGTTGCATATGTAGATATAATGCCTTTGACTCCACTGCTAGTGGGTCTTTCAGAGGATACGTGAATGTTTATCATTTCAACACATCATCCCACAGTGACAGTTCTCTTCACACCTTGAGCTAGATCGGTCTTTGGTGTCACCTCAGCCACACTCTCCCTTCCCCTGAGCAGCAACCCACCTAAGTTTTGCCTCGCAAAGCACCTCTTAGCTGCAGCTGATTGGCTGGGGAGTTGATGCTCCATGTAGTAGACCAACCAGATTTCCGGTCTAATTACTGTTGCTCTAATCAGTGGCTCTCTGCCTTTGGTATTTAAAAATAGAACTTTAGGGCCAGGGAGATGGCTCAGTAGAATAAGCGCTTCCCTGGCAAGCACAAGAGTCTGAGTTCAATCCCCAGTTCCGCAAAAAAAAAAAAAAAAAAAAAAAAAAGGAACTTTGTAGGAACCCCAGAACTCCAGAGACATAGTTCAGTGAGTGCTACAACATGTTGGTTAGTACGAGCAGACACTGAGGTTACTTGCTGAGTCATGGTCATGTACAGCCTTCCTTGCTCACGTACGGTGACCACTAAATGCCTTGAATTGCCTGGTTCCCTTGCAGCTGGGACTGACCATGTGGAACAGGTCAGGCTGTTGTAGGCAACTAAATTAGATAGAAATATTATAGGCAGTCAGCCAGGGCCAGGCCCTCAAGGAGACAATATGGAAGACATGGTGACTTTGCAACTTTGGAAGAGACAGACAGTCCTGCTTTGGGCTATACCTCATGACAAAGTAAACAAACATAGCCACATACTTCCCTGGGGATGGGTATCAGTGATTGATATTCTAACTAGGTATCAATCACCTTGAAAGGGCCCAAAAGAATCACTAACCCAACCTCCAACAGGAAGAGACCCTGTCCCGTGACTTGCTTCATTCGGTCCTGGATTTAATCAATTTTACCTGAGCAATGGTGCTTGTAAGCTCATTGGATGACCATAGTTTTGTCCCACCTCATGCCCACCTTAAGCAAGTTCCCATGTTCTCCACCTTAGACCCACCTCACTGCATGGTTTTACTCTATAATAAAGTCCCTGGAAGAGACAGCTTCCTGGGGGGAATCCGTTCAGGCCCCTCTTGCGTCCCTCTCTAGGACAGGAGCTTTTTTTCCCCCCAATAAATATATTCTGCTTTTACCCTCCATTTGTTCCTAAAGTTCATTTTTTGGTTTTAGAGAACCTGAACTCATCCCAGGTACCCTTCAGGTCGGGAGTTTCATTTCCCTTGTATCAAGGCCACTAACACATAAGGAAAAGCCCCTGGGAAGGCTTTCCTTGTGGACTAAGAAGAGGTAATCTTCACTAGGAACACAATTCCATCCTTTGTCCTTTTGCCTGGTCTTTTTTTTTCCCACGCCTGGAGCTCAGATTGGGATCAAGAACAGCTGCTTTGGGGCTCACCGAGAACAATGGAGTAGAAGGACAAGAGGGACTGGGCAGGGCCTGGTGGCATCTCTGAGCTCTGGACCCTGAACTGCTTGTAGAGAAGAAATAAGTCCTTCCCCGTGTAAGTCACTGTGGTCAGGTATGTTTGTGCTTGGAACAAGCTGCCCGAAAAATCATGAGTGAAAACATCAAATATTATTTTTCTCAATCGCATGGGTCCAGCTGTATACTTTCACTGTCAGGGCTGGTCTGGCCGGGGCTAACTGGTTAGAGTAGCCCCACTTCCTGCCATTCTCGGAAACACTGGACAGGGTGTGGACATCATTTTGATTATCACAATAAGGGCAGGAGGATTCTACCATTATCTCAAGAGTGGAGTCCAGGATCTGGCTAACACCCTACAGTACACAGAACAAAGGATCGTTTCATCTTAGATGGCAGTGGCAGCTGGGTTGAGACACTGGCCTTGGCGGGGACGCCTTGTCTCAGCTCCGCACACTCTCATTACCCCACAAGCCAGACCAGGCTTGTCCACACCCTGGTGGTCACAGGTTCCCAGCGCTCCAGCGCTAGTCAAGTCCCTACCTGCCTGGCGTTTGCTAATTTCCCAGCTGACCCAGCCAGAGTCAGTACAGGAGGGGCTCCCAAATGTTACCCTCTGCCCACATTAGGTTTTGGTTACTTGAAGCTTCAGACAATCCCAAGTGATGCGGAAGAAGGATGCGCCGATGGCCTGCGGCACCTTGCCTAGTTCCTAGCGCCTTTCCATACAAAGGTCAGTTTCAAGACCCACCTTGGGGCTCCACTAGGACCCCTCCTAATCACTCACTTCCTTCGTTTCAAACCACAGACATCTCCTGCACCTGGCAGGCTGTGGGGAAGTCAGCTTATTGAAAGGAAATGAGGAAGGATGGGGTGTCAAAGGCGACACAGAGCTGACATCAGGCCTGGGCAGCCAGGGATCGCCTTTTCTTCCTCATTTGGGTTCCCTTTTTGCGTCCACCAGTCTGGGTGATTTGTAACCAATAACCCACCTTTTGGCCTTTGTTACAAAGACGCTTGTCTTCCCCACCGTGGATCTGAGAGGCCCCAGGCGACCTCTCCTTGGGGGTTATGCTAAAGTGTAAGAGTCCCGGCTGTCCCTCCAAACAGCCCTGTCTCCAACAGCCCCATCTCCACGCCTCTCCTCGAAGAGCTACAGCAGCTGCCTTCCGCCGCGCTTGCCGGCAGTAGCCACACGGATTGCTGGAATCGTGACTTTGCAGATAAGGTGCCCTTCTCTCCACCAGCGCCTGCTGTTGCAGAAATCAGAGCCACGAAATGTCTGGGGGGAAAAAATAGCTTCTGGATCCGCATTCCGGAGTATGCTCCCGGGAAGCGTCGCGGTTCGGTTTCCAAGATTTCAGGGGCTCAAGGGCAAAAGTGATACAGTAGTGAGCAGCCGGACCCAAACCGTTTGGGGGCTAGTGAGTCCCTCGCCTCTCTTTTTGCTGCGGAGGCCTCCGGAGCAGGAGGTAGGGCGCCCAGTGAGGGGGACACTATTTCAGTTTATCGGCTTGGCCTCGTTTCCATCAAGATGTGCCGCTTGCATCCGGCTGCTCTGTGTCCCCAGTTATTTTGGGCCAACACATGACCTTCTGTGCCTGGTTTTGTTTTTAAACGTTTCTCTTCGCCCATCTGTTCCCCCAGGAATCCTCCACCCCGTGGTCGTTGGTTTGAGATTTCCTCTCATCTGTACCGTGCCAATTTCCTGCACGTAGACATAACATGGCTTTCTGGCTAATGGTGGTCTTCTCATCAGAGAGCCCAGAGGTACCCTTCCGGGGGACACATCACCTTGCTAGGCAAATAACCAGCCTTCATTCATCCAGGCAACAAACACTGGGTACCTGTTAAGCGCTGAGTGGCCTCAACCCCTGTCCCCATTCACAGTCTAAGCTACTGCTCTAACAAAAAGGGGGCTGGGAGCAGTTCCCTGGAATGTTGTGTGTGAGGATTGCCCACCTTGGACACACACATTTTGGGGGGTTTGGACAGGCTTGCTGCTGGGTGTTTTTTAAAGAGATCTGGATGCAGCAGTGACCCCCATCTGGGGTTCTCGGTGCCACACGGCAGCTGGAGATTTTACAGCTGCTGATGGTAAGCGCCCTTTATAATGCCGCCGGTCACTGTGAGAGGTGCAGACGAGACATCACCCCACTTAAGCCTCACTGTGTGCCTGGCTCTTGTTTTGCCTGTGAGACAATGAGTCCAGAGAGTAACTTGTGCAAGGTCACAGGGCAAGGGTCAGAGTTCAAAGTTCACGCCTTTGACTGCTCTAATGTATCCCTTGTCCTCAGCACAGTCCAGGAGCCTGCTGGTCATGTGATAAGACATGAAGATAGGGTTGGCAAAGGTTTTCTATCAAAAAGCAGCTAACAAAAGCCCTTTTTCTGCAAAAGACTGTGACACTTTGTTGACGTGGCCAATGCGTATACGGTTACTTCTCAGCTGCCACTGCAACATGACAAGTGAATTCACCTGTTTATAAACATAGGCAGTGGAGCCGACTTGCCAAGCCTAAACTGTCACCAGAGCAGACTGGTAAAGTCTGCATGGTTGTGGCCTTCCTGTGACCACCAGAAAGTCCAAGGATCACTGTCCTGGCCATGGGGAGCTTTTTGAGTTTCACTATGTGCCCGGAGCAGCACTGAGCATCCTATACTGTTTTTTCATCAAATCCTCGCAAGTCCTGCCGGAGGACAGCAGTA